ACAACGCTAGGGGCCCTAATACATGGCATAAATACAATGCACACCATAACTAACAATGCACAAACACCAGAAGTGAAACTAGATAACTAGGAGCTCCTAAAAATTAAACACTTATGCTCATCAAAAGAATTCGATAACAGAGTAAAAAAAAAAAATCTATCGACTGGGAAAAAATTTTTGGCTATGACATATCCAACAAGAGTCTAATCTCTAGAATCTATAGAATACTTCAACACCTCAATAACAAAAAGACAAATAATCCAATTAAAAAATGGGCAAAGGATATGAACAGACACTACACCAAATACGACATTCAGGCAGCTAACAGACACATGAGGAAACACTCACGATCACTAGCAATTACAGACATGTAAATCAAAACTATGATGAGCTACCATCTCACCCCAATATGACTGGCACTAATAAAAAAAAAAACAGAAAATAACAAATGTTGGTGAAATTGTAGGAAGATTGAAACTTTTATACACTGCTGGTGGGAATATAAAATGGTACAACCACTATGGAAAATGATACGTGCATAGTTAAAAAGCTAGAAATACAAATATGATATGACCCAGCAATCCCACTCCTAGGAATATATGCTAAAGAAATGAGTCATCACATGAATAGACATATGCACACCATGAACATTGCAGCATTATTCACAATAGCAAAAAGATGGAAACAACGTAAGTGCCCACAAACAAATGAATGGATAAACAAATTATGGTACATACACAAAATGGAATACTGTGTAATGATAAAGAACAATGATGAATCCACAAAGCATCTCACAACATGGATATTTCTGGAGAGCATTATGCTGAGTGAAATAAGTCAATCACAAAAGGACAAATATTGCATGAGACCACTATTATGAAAACCCAAGAAAAGGTTTACACATAGAAAAAACCCATCTTTGATGGTTGTGGGGTGGGGAGGGAAAATCACTAACTAGTTAGTAGACAAATGTTAACTTTGGTGAAGGGAAAGACAATACACAATATAGGGGAAATCAGCATAACTTCACCAAGGCAAAGTCATAGAAGCTTCCTAGACACATCCAAACACCTGGAGGGACCCAGTTACTGTGGCTGAGGGATTGGGGCCATGGTCTTGGGGGTTGTCTTAGTCATCTGGTGTTACTCTAACAGAAATACCACAAGTGGATGACTTTAACAAAGAGTTTATTCTCTCACAGTCCTGTAGGTTACAAGTCCATATTCAGGGTATCAGCTCCAGGAGAAGGCTCTCTCTCTCTGTCGGCTCTGGAGGAAGGTGCTTGTGATGCATCAGTCTTCCCTTGGTCTGGGAGTATCTCAGCACAGGAACCTCTGGTCAAGAGGACACATTCTGCTCCCGGCACTGCTTTCTTGGTTTACAAAATGGTACACAATCATACAATGATGGGAAACATGACCCAGCCAAGTTGACAGATATTCTGGGGAGATACAATTCAATCCATGACAGGTGACATCTAGATCATTTGGAATAACATAGTTCATAAAGATAATGTTCTACATCTTACTTTGGTGAGTAGTGTCTGGGGTCTTAAAAGTTTGCTAGCAGCCATCTAAGATACATCTATTAGCCCCATTTCATAGGGAGTAAAGAGGATGAAGAAAAACAAAGACACAAGGAAAATATTAGTCCAAAGAACTAATGGACCACATGAACCACAGCCTCCACGAGCCAGAAGAACTAGATGGTGCTACCACCGCTGACAACTCTGACAGGGATCACAATAGAGGGTCTCGGACAGAATGGGAGAAAAATGTAGAACAAAATTCAAATTTACAAAAAAAGACCAGACTTACTGGTCTGACAGAGACTGGAGGAACCCCCCAAGACTATGATCCCTGGACATCCTCCTAACTCAGAACTGAAGTCACTTCTGAAGTCCACCTTTCAGCCAAAGATTACACAGGCCTATAAAATGAACAGCAACACATGTGAGGAACGTGCTTCTTAGTTCAGTCGTGTATATTAGACCAAATGGACAACACCTGCTCAAAAGCAAAGACAAGAAGGAAGGACAGGAAAACTAGACTAAAGGACACAGGGAACTCGAGGTGTAAAAGGAAAGGGAGAGAGTGCCGACACATTCCAGAATTGCAGCCAATGTCAAAAAACAATTTGTGAATAAATTATTGAATGAGAAACTAATTCACACTGTACACTTTCACCTAAAGCACAATAAAATTTTTTTAAAAAAAGAAAAAAGTCTCTCTGAGGTGGCTTCCAAACACTTTTTTCATGAGCTATTTAGAATCCTCTTGGACTTTGTGTCTTAATGGGGTTGTATAAGTCAGAATATTCTCAGAGTGTGTGTAGTTGTGTGCACATGTGTATGAAGGCACGTAGGTAAGAGATACCCAGGAATGTAAACTTTTCCCTTACGTTCTTCTATATATGCAAGCCATTTTATAACCTCCCTGGGTTATGACACAGTGAATCATGACTAAGCCAAATGCAAGCCCCTGTTTTAGCACTGGATTCAATTTAGTCTATCCTTCTTCCTATAGCTTAAAGGCATTGTTAAAACAGCATTAAAATTAACACATACAGGCGTGCCTTGGAGATATTTCGGGTTCAGTTCCAGACCACTGCGATAAAGCAAATATCACAATAAACTGAGTCACATGATTTTTTTGGTTTCCCAGTGCATATAAAAGTTACATTTACACTATACTGTAGTCTCTCAAATGTGTAATAGCATTATGTCTAAAAAAAAGTGCATAACTTAATTAAATAATACTTTATTGCTAAAAAATGCTAATCATCATCTGAACCTTCAGCCAGTCAGAATCTTCTTGCTTGTGGAGGGTCTTTCCTCAACGTTGATGGCTGTTGACCAATTAGGTTGGTGGTTGCTGAATGTTGGAGTGGCTGTGGCAATGTCTTAAAATAAGATGATGAAATTTGCCACACCAATTGACTCTTCCTTTCTCAAAAGGTTTCTCTGCAGTATGCAATGCTGTTTGATAGCATTTTACCAACAGTAGAATTTCTTTCAAAATTGCAGTCAATTCTCTCAAACTCTGCTGCTGCTTTATCAATTAAGTTTATGTAATATTCTAAATCCTTTGTTGTCATTTCAACAATGTTCACAGCACCTTTACCAGGACTAGATTCCACCTCAAGAAACCACTTTCTTTGCTCATCCTTATAAGAAACAACTTGTTTGCTTATGTTAACTTATGATAAAATTTAAGATAAAACTCAAGTTTATCATGAGTGTGCAGTAATTCAGTCACTTCTTCAGGCTCCACTTCTAATTCTAGTTCTCTTGCTATTTCCACCACATCAGCAGTTACTTCCTCCACGGAAGTCTTGAACCCCTCAAAGGCATCCATGAGGGTTGGAATCAACTTCTTCCAAACTCCTGTTAATGCTGATATTTTGACCTCCTCCCATGAATCGCAAATGTTGTTAAAGGCGTCTAGAACGGTGAATCCTTTCCAGAAGGTTTTCAATTTACTTTGCCCAGATCCATTAGCTGAATCACTATCTATGGCAGCTATAGCCTTTCAAACTGTATTTCTTAAATAATAAGACTTGAAAGTAGAAATTACTCCTTCATTCATGGGCTGCAGAATGGATGTTGTGTTAGCAGGTACAAAAACTACATTAATCTTGTACATCTCCATCAGAACTCTTGGATGACCAGGTGCATTGTCACTGAGCAGTAACATTTTGAAGGAAATCTTTTTTTCTGAGCAGTAAGTCTCAATAGTAGGCTTAAAATATTCAGTAAACCATGCTGTAAGCAGATTTGCTGTCATCCAGGCTTTGCTGTTCCATTTAGAGAGCACAGGCAGAATAGATTTAGCATAATTCTTAAGGGCACTAGGATTTTTAGAATGATAAATGAGCACTGGCTTCAACTTAAAGTCACCAGCTGCATTAAAGTCACTTCTAACAAGAGAGTCAGCCAGTCCTGTGAAGCTTTGAAGCCAGGCAGTAACTTCTCCTATCTAGCGATGAAAGTCCTAGATGGCATCTTCTTCCAATGGAAGGCTGTTTTGTTTACAATGAAAATCTGTTGTTTAGTGTAGCCACCTTCATCAATTATCTTAGCTACATCTGCTGTTTAACTTGCTGCAGCTCCTACATCAGCACTTGCTGCTTTGCCTTGCAATTTTTATGTCATGGAGACAGCTTCCTTCCTTAAACCTCTTGAACCAACCCCTACTAGCTTCAGACTTTTCTGCAGTTCCCTCACCTCCCTCAGCATTCAGAGAATTGAAGAGAGTTATGGCCTTGCTCCGGGTTAGGCTTTGGCTTAAGGGAATGTTGTGGCTGGTTTAGTCTTATATGAGGACCACTAAAACTTTCCCCATATCAGCAATCAGGCTGTTTCTCGTTTTCTTATCATTTCTTTAAGGACTTTTTCTTTGCATTCACAATTTGGCTAACTGGCACAAGAGGCCTAGTTATCTGCCTGTCTCAGCTTTTGACATGCCTTCTTCATGAAGCTTAACCACTCCTAGCTTTTGATTTAAAGCGAGAGACACACAACTCTTCCTTTCACTTGAACACTTAGAGACCACTGTAGGGTTATTAATGGGCCTAATTTCAATATTATCATGTCTTAGGGAATAGGGAGGCCCCAGGAGAGGGTGAGAGATGTGGGAATGGCTGGTTGGTGGAGCAGTCAGAACAAACACATTTATTGATTAAGTTTGCCATCTCATATGGGTGCAGTTCTGGGTGCCTGATAACAATTACAATAGTAACATCAAAGATCACTGATCATAGGTCAACATAACAGATATAATAATAATAAAAGATTTGAAATATTGTGAACATTACCAAAATGAGACACAGAGACACAAAGTGAGCACATGCTGTTAGAAAAATAGCACCGAAAGGCTTAGTCAAAGCAGGATTGCCACAAAATTTCAGTTTGTAAAAAACACAATATCGCCAAAGCGCAATAAAATGAAATATGTCTCTATTTATAAACTCAAAGAAAAGATTTTTGCAACCTCTCCTCACTAAGTGGGGAGGGGCTTTCCCCCTAAAGCTCTGCCCAGAGCATCTTTGACCTCCTTATTTCTCAGGCTGTACACTACAGGGTTCAGCAGGGAAGTGATGACGGTGTATGTCACTGAGATGAGCCTGTCCTGCCCCAGAGAACTCTGGGACTTGGTCTTAAGGTAGATGATGGAGGTACATCCATAGTGGATGATGACCACTGTGAGGTGGGAGGCACAGGTGGCAAAAGTCTTTCTGCCCTCAGCTGAAGCAATCTTAAGGATGGTAGAGATGATGAGGACATAGGAGAGGAAGACCAGGTGCATGGGTAGAACAAGAACACAGACACTGACCACAAAGTTAATGTTCTCATTGACAGTGGTGTCTGCACAGGCCAACTTCAGCAAGGGTCGCACATCACAGAAGAAGTGAGAGATGACAAAGTCATCACAGAAGGGCAGACCAAACACAGATGTTACCTGGACAATGGCCATAGTCAGCCCAATTCCCAGTGACCCAGATGCCAGATGGACACAGGACCTCTTACCCATGATGATGGAATACCGTAGAGGGTTGCAAATGGCCACATAGTGGTCATACCCCATGACTATGAGCAGGAAACAGTCGTTGATGTCAAAGGTGAGATAGAAGAAGAGCTGTGTGCCACAGCCTTGGATGGCAATGCGTTGGTGAGGACTCAGAAGGTCAGACAGCATTCGAGGGATGATGGCCACAGTGTAGCAGGTCTCAGAGATGGACTGCATGCTCAGGAAGAAGTACATGGGAGTGTGAAGGTGACAATCCAGGAGAATGATGGTCACAATGATGACTTTTCCAGAGAGGGTCAGTAGATATAAAGTTAGAAAGACAACAAAGAATACAATCCTGTGTTTCCACCCAAAGCTGGAGAAATCTTCAAAGAGGAACTCGGTCACAGCAGTGGAATTTGGCCTTGATACTGAGGGAGGTCTAGGTCTGAAAGAACTGAACAAAGGAAAGGGAGAAGTGATGAGCCATCACTTGATCCAAGTGATGAGCTTGGACCAAGGCCAGAGGTAAAGGGGGCATTCATCCTTTGAGCAATGCCCCAGATCCCGCGAACCACCAATGTTCAGCTGTTGAACAATTGGTCAGTGATCACCTGCACTCAACCTCTTCTTTGATAGTATAAAAGTGTTATCCCAGACCCTTGGAGTGAGGGCAGAGATAGAGACAAGAGGGAAAATAAAGACAAACTGAATGACAATTTTATAGAAATAAATACCTGGCCATTGAAGATGTAGGTCCAGATCAAGGAAGAGGCAAATGATACATCAAATGTGCCCAGCTCTATAGTGTCTCCTCAACATACTCTTGAAGTAGGCCCCCAAGGACTCTATGAGGAACAGTGACCTAGTAAAAGGTAAAATATATCTGAGACTGATATCCTTTTAACACTGTCATAATGCATTGTCAACACCAAATGCTTTGTAAGGGACCTAGAATGGCTTCTTCTCCCCAGAACCCTAAGACCTGTGCTTTACTTCCCTAAACCCCTGTCCCCAAATGTCCTGCAATCATGAAAGACTAGAAAAGGGAGCACTTCTACTGGCTTTTTTTTTTCCTGGAGACCCTGCATCCGATATCTTCTAAGATGATGAAAAATAGTTTGATAAGGCACTTCAGGTAACCATTTAGCTTCTCTCCTTCTTGAATTCTAGCCAAAGGCAGGAAAGAAAATGGAATGAATATGAAGATGTCCCTTCAAGTAGGAAATATGTTTTCCTACTACGAAAGAAAAGATGGAATTTATTTAATCAAACAAGGACTAGATGTTCTATTTTTTACTTCAGTTGTGCATACCCCAAGCTTTATTGTGGATAGACATGAGCTGGTTCACCTTCTCTTTGTCTAACCCCATGTAAAGGCAGTATGACAGACTGTACAGGGCGGGGGGTGGGGGGCAGATTTAACCTTTTCATGGCAGGTTAAAACCATGTCTGCTCTTGATAAAATCCACCATGTGTAACCATTTGTCTCCATTCAGAGAGCTGAACGTCATCCTAGTTACCTTTCTTCTCTTTTCCTTCATGAACACAGTACCTCCTGAAATTCTCTTCTCTTGTCCTCTCCTCTGCATGCCTCCTAAAGATACCCAACTTCTGTCCACCATCGTCATTCTCAGTGATCACTAATCTATCTCCCTCATTTCAGTAGAGCCTAGTCCAAGTTTTCCTCTTAAGTGTTTTCATACTCTTTTTTTAAAGAAATCTGCTCATGGAGCTCTCCTACCTAAGTACCGTCAACAGTCCTTCAATAATTTTATAATACTCAAGTATTCATAATATTTTATAATATTCACAATATTCAAACTCATAGTTAAATTGACTGTAGTAATACCCTATAGAATTGCTGTGAGGATTAAATGGGTTAGCGTGTTTGAAGAGATTGTCATACTCATGCCTGTGGCCTGGAATCTTTTTCTGTTTCTTTTGTCCTTCATACCATTAATCAACACCCTAGAAAATATATTCCTGCAACACCTATAGGAGACACTTTCTAACAGTTAGAATAGTCAGTAAAGGGGTGCAGCGAGTGGATTGAGGAAACTAAAAACATTTTCAGAGGAATATTACTCATCTAGATTATAGGAAATGTGGGTGAGGAGGGTAAGATGACAGACAACAATGTATGGAGGGTATAAATGGACAAAAACTTTGAAATCCAGATAATGCCTTTGACTTTGGAGTTTTTACTCCCCTTTGTTTCTTTAAAGTAAATGATCAAAAAAAGGTTAAACAAGGTCTTTTGTACAGCTCCTACAGAGTCCTGGTGGCACAGTGGTTAAGAGCTCAGTTTCTAATCAAAAGTTTGGCAATTTGAATCCATCTTGAAATATAATTTCTAAGATAATCATTATGATAATGTATAACTAACAAATTAGCAAAAAGTAAAGGAAAAAAATATTAATCCAAAAAAAGGCAAAAAATTAGAGGAAAGGTACACAAAAAAAAGATGGGACAAATAGAAAATAAATCACTAAGATGGCATATTTAAACCCAAATATATTAGTGATTTCATTACATGTAAAATGAATAATAATCAAATTAGTAGACAAAGATTGTCAGACAGAATAGTAAAAGAAAATTTTGATGGCAAGAAGAGCATCTTAAATATCAAAATATAGAACAATTGAAAACAGAAGAATGGAAAAATATGCAAACATTAAAAGAAAGCTATTATTTTATGTTAATATTAGAGAAAGATTATTTCCATTTTTTAAAAATTTATTTATGTGTAGTAGCCCCTAAAAAAATAAAATACTTGGTAATAAATCTAACTGGGATGTAAAGGACCTATATAAAGAAAACTACAAAACACTACTGCAAGAAACCAAAAGAGATCTACATAAATGGAAAAACATACCATGCTCACGGATAGGTAGACTCAGCACTGTGAAAATGTCAGTTCTACCCAAAGCAATCTACAAGTATAAAGCAATCCTAATCCAAATATCAACAGCATCTTTAACGAGATGGAGAAACTAATCATCAATTTTATATGGAAAGGAAACAGGCCCTGGATAAGTAAAGCATTATTGAAAAAGAAGAACAAAATAGGAGGCTTCACGATACCGGACTTCAGAACCTACTATACAGCTACGGTAGTCAAAACATCGGATACTGGTACAATGACAGACACAATGAACAATGTAACAGAATCGAGAACCGAGATGTAAATCCATCTACCTATGGCCACCTGATCACTGACAAAGGCCAAAGTCCATTAAACAGGGAAACGACAGTCTTTTTAACAAACAATGCTGGAAAAACTGGATGTCTATATATAAAAAAAGGAAACAGGACCCATACCTCACACCATACACAAAAACTAATTCAAAATGGATCAAAGACCTAAATATAAAACCACAAACTATAAAGATCATAGAAGCAAAAATAGGGTCAACACTAAGGGCCCTAATACACAACATAAACAGGATACAAACCATAATTAACAATACACAAATACCAGAAGATTAGCTAGATAAATGGGATCTTCTAAAAATTAAACACTTATGCTCATCAAAAGACTTCGCCAAAAGAGTAACAAACAACCTGTTGTTGTTAGATGCCACCTAGTCCGTTCCAAATCATAGCTACCCTGTGTACAACAGAAGGAGACACTGCCCGGTCTTGTATCATCCTCATAAGCATTGTTATACTTGAGCCCATTGTGTCAATTCATCTCCTTGAGGATCTTCCTCTTTATCGCTGATACTACCTTATCAAGCATGATGTCCTTCTCCAGGGACTAGTTCCTCCTGATAACATGTCCAAAGTATGTAAGACGAAGTCTTGCATACTTGCTTCCAAGGAGCATTCTGGCTGTCCTTCTTCCAAGAGAGATTTGCTCATTCTTTTAGCAGTCCATAGTATATTTAATATTCTTTGCCAACATCATAATTCAAAGATGTAAATTCTTCTTCTGTCTTCCTTATTCATTGTCCAGCATTTGCATGTATATGAGGCAATTGAAAATACCATGGCTTGGATCAGGCGCACCTGAGTCTTTAAAGTGACATCTTTGCTTTTTAACACTTTAAAAAGTCTTTTGCGTTAGATTTGGCCAATGAATATGTGCTTTGATTTCTTGACTGCTGCTTCTATGGACATTGATTGTGGATCCAAGTAAAATGAAATCTTCGACAACTTCAATCTTTTTTCCGTTTATCATGGTATTGTTTATTGGTCCAGTTGTGAGGATTTTTGTTTTCTTTATGTTGAGGTGTAATCCATACTGAAGGCTGTAGTCTTTGATCTTCACCAGTAAGTTCTTCAAGTCCTCTTCACTTTCAACAAGCAAAGTTGTGTCATCTGCATATAGCAGGTTGTTAATGAGTCTTCCTCCAATCCTGATGCTACATTCTTATTCATATAGTCCAGTTTTTTGGATTATAGGCCCAACATACAGACTGAATAAGTATAGTGAAAGGATACAACCCTGACACGCACCTTCCTGACTTTAACCCATGAAGTATCCCCTTGTTCTGTTCAAATGACCGCCTCTTGGTTGATGTACAGATTTGGCATGAGCATAATTAAGTGTTCTAGAATTTCCATTCTTCTCAATGTCATCCATAATTTGTTATGAGCTGCACAGTCGAATGCCTTCACATAGTCAGTAAAACACAGGTAAAGAGAACCTACAGACTAGAAGAAAATTTTTGGCTATGATATATCCAACAAAATTTTAATCTCTAAAATCTTTAGGTAAATCCAACACCTCTTCAATAAAAATACAAATAATTCAATTAAAAATGAGCAAAGGATATGAACAGATACTTCACCACAGGAGATACTCAGGCTGCTAACAGACACATGAGAAAATGTTTGTGATCACTAGATGTTAGAAAAATGGAAATCAAAACTACAGCGAGACACCATCTCATCAGGACAGTACCGGCACGAATAAAAAAACCCCACAAAATATCAAATGTTGGAGAGGTTTCTAGGAAATTGGAACTCTTATGCACTGCTGGTGGTAATGCAAAATGGTAAAACCACTTTGGAAAATGATATGGTACTTCCTTAAAAAGCTAACAATAAAATTTATTGATGTTTATTTTGTGGCCTATCATATGGTCTAGGCTGGAGAATGATCCATCTGTTCTTGAAAAGAAAATGTATTCTACTACTTGTCAAGTTTTCCATAAATGTTAGTTAGGTCAAGTTTGATGATAGTGTTGTTCAAGTATTCTGTATTCTTACTGATTGTCTATCTACTGAAATGGAATTATTGAACTCTCCAATTACAATTTTTGAATTTTTTTTATTTCTCCTTTCATTTCTGTCAGTTTTTGCTTCATGTATTTTGAAGCTCTGTTGTCAGGTGCATATACATTTATAATTTTATGTCTTCCTAACATATTAATTCTTTATCATAATAAAATACTTTTTTGTCTCTCATAATATTCCTTGTTTGAAAGGCTATTTTGTCTGATATAATATAACCATTCCAGCTCTCTTATGGTTACTGTTTGCATGATATATCTTCATTCATCCTTTTATTTTCAATGTATTTTTGTCTTTAATT